GAGGGAGGGGGGGGGCGAGGAGGCGCTGCCAAAAGTGCGCTGTTTACTATGCCGATAGGGCTGCCGCCGCGGCGCGCTGTGGCGTGACGGTGCATCCCGCGCGAGCGCGAAGCGGTGGTGTGACGGGGCGTGACGGGCGACGTGACGGGCGGGGGAAAGAAGAAGAAGAAGCGGCGCAGCTTTCGCACGCAGCCCCACATCTAATCAAAGCCACCTCCCCACCGCCGCTCTCCTGCCCCGCCCCGCTGTCAAGCTGCCTTCAGAAGCCCCGCGCCCTCTCGCGCTCACGCCCGCAGCGCCCTCCTCCTCCCTCACCCTCCCCTTCCGCCAACATGTCGCGCGACGCAGGCGACGCGACGCGAAGGCAAACGCGACGGCGGCGTGCGCGGGGAGGAGGAGAAGTAGTGTGCGACCTGTGCGCGCCGGAGGGGGAGGGAGAGGGAGGGTAGGGGGTGGGGGGTCCTTTGTAGGGAGTTGTTTCTCATTAGCCACGTTCAACGGCCCTGCCTGCCTGCCGAGCCCGGTGGGGCTGCCGTTCGTTCCTGGTTTGTGCGTGGTAAAAGCAGGCCCTGGGATTCCCAGGAGTTTTCTGCATTTTCCAGGAAAATGAGAAAGCCCCAGGGGATGCCCGGAAACACGCATTTTTTTTTAAGGGGATGTCCTGAGTTTTCCCGTAGCTCCTCTGGGGATAATTGCTTGTTTCCAGGGCATCCAACGGAGATCCCAGGACTCGTGTTTTAACCGTGTGTTTGGCCTCCGGCGGCCTTCCCGCCTCAGCCCCACTCACTCAGCCGGTGGGAGTGCTACCCGCCCGCCAACCCTACAACGCTGCTGGTGCCGCTGGCGCACTGCTGCTGCTTCCTGCTCCACCTCACCACCGCTCCCCCCGACGCCAAACCCTTCATTCATTATTGCCACCCGAGAGGTGCGATAACATCGCTTTGGAGGCGCCCTGCTGCTGCCGCTGCTGCTGCGCTCCGCGCGCGCGTCACGCCCGGGGGTAGAGTGGCCCTACTATACCCTGCCCTGCCCTGCCCTGCCCTGCCACCCACCCCGCCGCGCGTTCCTCTTTGACAGCGGCAGATACACGTCACCCAGTCATGGAGCCACGCCACGCCACGCCACGCCACGCCACGCCACGCCACGCCACGCCACGCCACACTCATCTCCCATCTACTCCCCGCCGCCGCAGCAGCGACGAGGGTGATTGACGACTGCGCCCGCCTCCCTTGTCTGCATGCCACGCGGATTGCCACACACACACACACGCACACACAAAAGCGCGCGCGCCGCCAGAAAACGCCCGTACAAATGAAAAACTGCGCGGCTCTCATTTGTTTCCCCCCCTCCGACGTTATTACGACCGTTTTGCTTTATTTCATGTGTAACATTTGTGTGTGACATGTTATTGCCGCAGCTCCGCGACAAGCCGACGCTGGACAAGGACGGCGTGCCCGTGCACCCGCTGACCGACAAGGAGTGCACGCAGACCCTCAGCAGCCACCCCCTGGTGCGTATTGGAGTTGTGCGACGGCGGGTTAAGGCGGTTCAGGGGTGATTCACTGTAAATTCAGGCGTACGCCGTTTATTGTAATTTGATTTTTTTTATTCTTCCTTGTCTTTTTACTGATCATTTATGTCCTTTCTGATCTTTTATTAATTTTTGAAATTGCGATTTTACCTTGCTTTTTCATATTTTTTTCATTAATTTTCTTAGAGGGTGTTGGGTGGGTGTAGGCGGGCAGTTTGCTAATGAGGATAAAACGATTCATCTTGCTTGGCGCCTGCGCAGGCTTTCGACGCGGTGTTCTTCATCGCGGTGAACATGGACGGCGTCTACATTATCGTGGGTAGCGAGCGGCGCCACAAGGGCATCGTCAACGGGCTCGTCTACGTCCTGGTGAGTGCGGGTGCGGGTGGCTGCCCCAGTCGGCCTGGTTCACGACGGTGATGTCTTCCGTCCTCATACCCGTCCCCTTTATTTTTTGGACCTGCTCCGCCAGATGCCAGGCATCGGTCTGCTGCGGTCCAAGAAGCTCCCGGACACCATCCTCTTCGGCGCCCAGGACGGCACGTTCGGCGCCGAGGGTATCCGCATCCAGCCCGTGGAGCCGCTCAAGAAGTGGCGCGTCGAGTTCGAGGGCGTCATGCAGTGAGTGAGCAGCGCTGCGCGGCGCGGCGGGTCGGAGCGCGAGCGCCTGTGGGCAGTGGGGTAGGCAACCCAATACGCCGGGGTGCCAGCGGGTTGCCTACCCGGCTCCCCGCGACGAGCAGAGAGCTCGCTGGAGGAGGAGGAGGATGATGATGTGGACGCCTAGACAGTGTCCGTTTGCTTCGCTGTTGACGTCCATGGCCACGCGGCCCCCTCGAGGGAGGTTTTTGGGTCGTCAGTCAGTTTAGTCTAACCCGCGCGCTGGACCTCAGAGACGTTGACAAAGTCGCGTCAAGCCCGAGGAGGAGGGGGCGCGGCGGCGGGGCCGGGCCGGGACTTCACGGACGCACGTGGGGGAATGTGATTTGGCTTGGGCCGAAACCATTGCCGCCACAAATCTCATCACGGTGGAGCGTCCGGCGTCGGCCGTCGGATCCGACAGAGAAAGATGACGGCCGCGGTATATCCCCGCTTGTCTCTGTCTCCAGAGAGAGAGGCCCGGACTCGGGTGGTGGTGACTGGGGACTCCTCTCTGCCCGGCGCGCCCAGGCCCCGGCCCGGAAGGCGGTCGCAAAGGCGAGTATTCGGGGCGAGGCGAGGCAAGGCAAGGCCTGCGAATCCCTGCAGAGCCTGCAGTGCTTAATCCCCGGGACCAATCAGTGCGGCGCGCTGCTGTGCCTGGCCGCCTGCCTCGGACCGCCGCCGCCCGGCTTACTTACTGAGCATCGACCGCTCCGTGAGGAGGAGAGGAGAGGCAGACAGGACCGGATACAGCTGGACGGAGGAGCGGCTACTACTCGGCACGATAGAGCGGGAGAGGCGCGCCCGAGCCCGACGCGAACAAACAACGCCCATTCCGCGGCAGATGGGCCACCACGGCGGGGCCCTCCCGGACCACCCACATCACACATCCTCAAAAGAAAATTTGCCATGAGAAACGAAGAGGGTCCTTCCCTTCTTGGAGTGGAGTGAGAAGGGCCACTCCAAGCCCCGCCCCGCCCCCGCCCCCACTATGCCCCGCGACTCTCTCTCCTCGCGTCCGCACCCCAGCTCAATCCGCCAAGCCCGGCCAGCCGCGCCACGCCTAGCGCAGAGCTTGGAAACTTGTGATATCGCTCTCTCTCTCTCGCTGTGTTCCAGCCTCAAGGACGACCCGAGCCAGGAGTTCCCCGTCAAGCTGAGCGGGCTGTGGGGCTCCGAGTGGCCCGTCTTCAACTTCGACACGGACCTGCACCCGCATGCGCTGGCCAAGACCATCGCCACGGAGCCCTGGAGCCGGGAGTACTTCAGCGCCCTGCAGAGGTTAATCAATCTTGTGTCACGATCAGAGTCGTCCCCCGCCCCGCGGCGGGGCCCGTCCGGGACGGGAAGGGGGTGGTCGGGAGACGATCCGGTTCCTTTTTCCTCTTTCTTGCGCTCCCCCCCCCCCCCCTTTACGTTCACAGCGTACACGGGGCGGAAAGTGTGACCATTCTCGTCTTATTGTTCTTTTTCATTATAAACTAGACATGTTTTTCTTTCATCGCGCGACGTCGCCGTCTCTGTTCTGGCGCGACCAGATTGCACAGCGACTCCAGCGCGCACCAGCCCGTACATGTGTAATAACAAAAACGCGTGCGTTTCTGTCTCGCGCAGGGCCCACCAGACCCACTACGAGCAGATGGGCGTCTTCAAGGGCACCATCCAGATCGGCGACAAGGCGCACATCCTGAACCTCATGTCCCTCCGCGACCACAGCATCGGTGCGTACCGCCGGCCTCCAGCGCGCTGGTGGGGAGTCCCCCCTAATAATCGAGCAGCTCGGAGTGGAACGGCCAGGTCCTCAAGGCCCTGGTGGTCGTCGCGGCGAGCGTGTCCAATGCGTTCCGTTATTGCTCGTCGCCGGAGACTCCCCCGCCACGGCAACAAACATTTATGGGTGCCTTATTGTAAACTTGAACGCGGAAGGCAAATGGAAGGCAAATGGGATTGGAAGGGAACGGGGGGGGAGAGAGGAAGAGAGAGAGAGAGAGAGAGAGAGAGAGAGAGA